ATATATATAAAATTTATAACTTTTTATGCTGAGTTATAAACTCGTTTACCTTAAGTCTTGCTTCATTTCTTGTGCCACCAGTTCTGATGAAACAGGAAGACATGTTAGATACTGATATAACAATAATTTGGCTTTAACTGAAGTGAAAACTCTGAGCGTATTATCTTGTGAGCTCTGCTTATAGTCGACATGATTTGCTTACTGTAAGAGATAGATGGCATCTTCTCCATTACAATGTAAGTTGGAGAATTAGAGGACATCTTGTCCCACAGAGTGACGAGATGTACTATTATGTTTTTACACATAGCATGCCAATTTTTTGTTTCGGTGTCAATATTTAAGATTATATGCAGGTTAATGACACATGATAATTTAAAATACTAATGCACAACAAGCATTTTTCACAAATGATAATGGTTTGGAGAGAGTTCTATCCTTCAGCATGCATGGCACAGGAAAAATTGTTAAAATGTGTTTGGTAAGTGCTGAGAACTGCTCTGAGGAGTGTGCCAAGGCAAATGAGAAAAACAAGATAATGATAAAAGAAGAAGAGATAAAAGTGACCATCTGCTTATTATCAGCACACAGTTCAATGCCAGCATCCATAGGAAGCCTGCACCCTATGAGTAGACCACAGGGTATGTGGTGGCTGTAGCTCAGGTGGTAGAGCAGGTCACCTGCTGATTGGAAGGTTTTTGGTTTGATCCCTGTCGCCCCCAGTCTGCATGCACGATACTAACCCCAAGTTGCTCTCTGATGCATTCACTTGAGAATGTATGTGCTAGTTAGCTTCTTTTTTTCTAAAAAGCATAGAAGAAGGTCTTGTGTGAATGGGCATGAATGGGTGAATGTGACATGTTGTATAAAGCGCTTTGAGTGCTCCGGGAGAGTAGAAAAGTGCTATGTAAGAATCAGTCCATTTACAACAGTAAAGATACGTCCAAGCAACACTCCAAAAACGAATTTCATCTACAACAGCTACAGCTGTCTTGACTACTGTTGTAAGTAGGAAGGTCTGGTAAGCAAGTGTGTTAGTGCTTTCTCAGTACTCCACCCTCTTTGTCATGGTGAAAATGATAAGAGCTTTATGCAAACTATAGCGTTCATTTCAACATTTTTTTAATGTATTAGAAATTTTATTTGTGTGTGTGGGTGTGTATATACTGACCCCGGATGCCTTTGGAGCGGGTTCGCGTTCGTGTCTCTGTAGTGTCTTGACTCATCTAAGTAACAGAGGGACATGAGTAACATTCACAAGTGAGGAAGTGTAGACAGACAGTCAGACAGACAGACAGGCAGGCAGACAGATAGGTACATTGTCACTGAGGCTTGTCCTCTCTGGTTGACTGGTTCTGTACTGGTCCACCGCGGGCTCAGAGTCTGAACTTTGAACTCATTTTTGCTGGATAAAACACACAAAACACACAACACCACCTTACAGTCAGCTAGTGTTGTAGGACAACTATGTTATACACTATATTAAGCTGCTTGCTTATATTCTAACTAAAGATCTTTAATCTTTCTCTTGTGAATCCCACAATTTTATGGAGGTAGAAATGTGAAAACTCTACTTTTCTAAAAGAAAATCTTTCCAAAGGTACCAGAAAATGTGTATTTTGGAGAAATATGTGGGTGCACATGGGTCTAGTATACTGTACATGCTCAGACAGAAATGTAGCATGTCACTGGGAACACCAAACATTAGCTGTTGCTGTTGTGTGTTGTATGTTTATATAGTGAGCGAATTCCACATCCAAACAGATTTGACCAAAATCTGTATTTTGATTCTCATATCAGAAAACATCAAAATCAAATGTAGACAAATATATTTCTTACGTAATGATTTACTGCTATCTATTTAGCTTTGGAAAGATGAGCTTGAATTATTTCAACGGTCTTGTTGCAGATTGAGCCACTTTTCTTGGCTAAAGTTAAAAATCATTGGACGGCAAGAACAATACAAATATCCATTAGTTCAAAAGTATGACTAAATTATTTCGTGAGGGGGGAGCCCCGTTTTGACACTTACAGTATCCAATGCAGACATGTTGTGTGAGCGTACAGTCTAACTATTCAAATATTCCATCAGTAAACAGATGGACTTTCTGATCAATGCTCATGATTTTGGAGCTCAAAGTAAAGCAGGCTACGTTCTAGAAGGCAGTCGACAGCAGTCAGCTGTAGACGTGACAGATCGGGATTTCAGGATGACTAAAGTTTCAGGTGACCTCATCCTGCTGAAAGCTTTTTTTCACGTTGACAGCAATTGACAAAAAGAGAAATGAGAACACAGGATGAGCTACAGGCCGATCGGCTGAGCACCACCAGGCCTGCGGCCGGCGGAGGACGGGCTGTTCCCGTTTCGGGCTCTCACTTCTGGGGCCGCCAAAGAACCGCCGGAAACGCCGAGCGGCCCATAATAATAATCGGATGAAAAGGCAGATCTCCAATGATCCAATGATGGAAGGAAACGAGTTAAAAACATGGAAACCTAAATACGTCCTCGCTTCATCCGCACCGCTCGGCACCAAATCCAGCGTCACAGTCTGCAGCCGAGGCCTCACAACATCCACGCATACGCTGCTCTTTGTCACGCAGACACAGCTCGGCCTTACCTTACGCTCAGACTACTGCCCTCCCCTCCCCCCTCGCAGACACATCTCCGGGCAGAAGGACGTTCCGGTAACGCTCCAACGACTACGAGCCCGAAAGAAGTGCGGAGCCAAGCCGGACACAGGGGGCCGAGTCTGCGAGGCGGCAGCAGCAAACCGAGCCGTTCAGCACCCCGGACAGAGACTGCCGACTCTCCAGCACCACGGACAGAAACCCCGCTGCAGTGCCTCCTGCAGGAGCCCAGGAGAGCTGCAACCGGCCCACCGGGGCTGGGCTCCCCCCTCGGCCGGCCGCGAAGTGCCGGAGGCAGCCAGTATTTAAAGAGCCAGAGCCAGCAGCGACGACACGCTCCTCTCAGTCCCCGCGCAGCTGAGGCTGCAGCACTCCTCTGACAAAACTGCATTCTGCTGGACATTATTAGCTGCAGAGCTCAGCTCACAGACATCAGAGACAAAGATTTTGTTCTCCCTTAGTCTTGAAACAGACCTCATTGCTTCATTCATTGCTGATGAACTAGGTGCAAAGATCTATCAAGACCTGGGAAAATAAAATAAGACAAACAAGCAAACTCCAGTTTCCACAGTCCCAACGAGCTTGAAATTCAGTGTTTGACCACCTTTAATCTTTACACAGGCTGAACTCTCTTTTAGGAACACTTTCCTGTAACTTCTGTAAGTGTCTTCACAAATAGTTCTCAAGGGTTCTTGAACAACATTCAAAGCTCATCTCTGGGCCATATCGTTACATAATGGCAACATGTTAAATAAAAATATCAAATTTGATTCATCTCTACATAAGTCCTGTTGCCTCTGGTTTGCCATTTCTATCAGTTTCCTTCTTATTAATGGCTTCTTGATACGGTACAGTATACTTTATTGTCCCCTAAGACAAATTTTACAGAAATGTGTAAAGTGCTGTCACAGAAACTGCTTTTTAAAAGAGCCAATAAACATTAAAAGAAAGACTAAAGAAATACCAAATAGAAGTGGATCGATAATGACAAACCAAGCAGCTTAAAAGCAACCAATACTCCACAGAAAACCCCTGTGCTACACAAAGCTCTGATGTAAAAGCTTAATTGGTGTAGGGACAAATGAAACGTTAATGCTATTCAGCCACATTTTAGGACTCTACTTTCTGCCAGAAGCCAAGAGCTCATACTTAGGATGTGGAATAGAGCCCTGTGTGCCTGACTGAGTACAGACTGCTTATAAATGACTGAAGGGAGAGGTCTTCGGCCCTCGGCACTCTAAAATTCAATTTTGCCTGCACAGAGAAACTTTCATGATACTCGATGGTATCCCATGCCATGAAAGCCACTTTTCCTCTGAGACAACTTCTAATGAGTCTTCAGTGAACAACAGATTGGATGCATCTCTCAGGTCCTGTGTCAGGTCTTTGCTGGATCTTTTCCAGTTTTTGACTTTCAGATACTGTTCATCTGCTGTAGAGTTTTTAAAAACTCTAGCTTTCTCAGATGTTTTAGAGACTCCCTGCACACCGTTCTGAGATATGCCAAGTGTTCAACAAAAAGAAAATGGTCAAGCTAAGCCTGTTGATACAATTATTAATTAGTGCCTGTCAAATTGTGTTATCTTTGGCATTTTTCATAGATTTAACTCAAGAAATGGGGACAAATTCCTTGTTTTCATTACAGGCTGCCCAAAACAAAGTGTCTAAAGATATCACTGAAGATTGGTTCTTTGCTATGTTTTCTGTTATGTGTAGACAACACTTATTTATTCCTTTCCTGAATTTCCCATAATTTTCTGCCATTGTTTACGTCAATGTGTGTATACGAGTGTGTATGTTGGGTAGGAGTGGGTGTAGGTGTGTCTTTTGATGCTGAAATGATTGATAGGTCAGAATTAATGATTGAACAAACAAATAAAAAAAGCATAGGTGTGAAAATGTTGATTTTTTGATTTTTGAATGTCTGGCTCCTGGAAAGCAAAATGGAAAGAAATGAGAGGTGACTCAAAACCTTTGCACAGTATTGTAATTGTGCATATCACAGACAGATGAGCTAGTAGCCTAACGGCTGCTTTTCACAGTGAAGCAGATTGAAAGTATGGCGGTTTTATACTTGAATGTGGAATGGCAGGGTTACTTTATAGTATGATTTCATACATCATATGAGATTAAAAACCCAAAATATTTGGAACTATTTCAGCTGAAATGAAATAGGTTTAAATAATGTTGCAAACAGGGCAGCAGTTCAAAAAAAATGAAGAAAGAACAAATGTGTTGGCTTTGTGCTCCATTTTCACACATTTGTATTTCACTTGAACATTTACACAGACGTAGCTCTTATTTCTCTAGTTGTTTGCGTGGTCTGGAGAGACTGCTGCCGAGGCTTCCTAGCTTGGTTAAATGCCTGCTGCCTCCTCTGGTCACGTGTCTTCGACTGGAAGAGCCGCTGAGAGGAACGGAGGATACGCATTGAAGAAGCTGCCGTAAAACCAGCAGGGGGCAGTGAAGGAACGGTTTGGAAGACGGGAATGAGTAGGAAAGTGTGGAAGACGAAGAAGAGTAGAGGAGCTGTTTCCGTGCGCCAGCTGGTTGGACCTGGATCTGGGGTCTTTGGCTGTGCTTCAACAGTTCAGGTGAGCCCGGTCTCTGACCTTCCGAACCGGATTGCTGGACTTGATTTAGCAGAGCTAGCGCCACCTGCAGGCCACCTCAAATTGTTGTTACGTGTGGGAAAGGTTGGTGCAGCAGAGCTAACGGAGGTAAGTGAACATGAAAGCTAGTTGTTGCTGGATGACGTGTGCGGCTAGCTCCTGTAGGCCAGTTTCTTAGTGCAGTCTCCGTGGACCTTCGGATGATCCAGTAATGAAACGGTCGCTTTGGAGTAACTTTCGGCGAGGCTGCAGTGCGTGCGGCCGATTGTCATCACTGTCACATAAAGCACAGTAGTCAGTAACCTTCGTGGATGATAAAGTCAGAACCATCGTGTCATTCTTAGCCATCAAGCTCACTCACTTCTTTTTTCTCACTCCAAGATGGTCTTAGATACTTTTCCATGTGCAGATGGGCTCACGGCTCATTTTGATCGATTTCTTTGGAAAGATCTAAGAAGCTTAATGTGTGGAGATATTTCTTTTTGCAGAGAGAAAGAAGCGCCCAATGAAACCAGGACTGATTACTTTAATTCATAAACCTGGAGAAGTTCCTAAACCTGGCCTTTTAAATAATTAAAGGCCAATTACACTGTTAAACGCAGATTATCAAATTATTGCCGTATCGATTGCTGCCAGATTAAAAAGAGCTCTTTCATCAATAAATCTGTGAATCAATCAGGTTTGTTGAGAGGACGACATACACAATACACAATAGCATACGATTCGTTTAGGATCTGATTGTCTGGAGTGATTTACTAAATGAAAGAAGATTTCTTTTTTTTTCTTTTTTTTTTTAGATGTTATGTATTTTCATTGCAAACAGCGAAGTAAACGCGATTAATGTAACGGGAAGTCAGTTGGCTGATGATACTATTTTAAAAAAGAAAACAAATCAAATTTCAGCATCATTAAGAACTATAAACACTGTTTTAAAGCTTTAGGGTTACAGTTAAATATAGATAAATGCAGGAGTGAATGTGAGTGCGAATGGTTGTCTGTCTCTGTGTTTTAGCCCTGCGATAGACTGGCGACCTGTCCAGGGTGTACCCCGTCTATCGCCCTATGACAGCTGGGATAGGCTCCAGCGCCCCCCGGGACCCTGAAAAGGAGAAGCGGAAGCGAATGGGTGGATGGATGAAATCTTAACTCTGCAGCCATTATATAACGTAAAGGTTAAAAATGTAAGTGAAATATTTGGGGATATTTCTAAAGATAAAGCAGTGTCCGGAGAAGAATATTATGAATAATATAGAAAAATGCCAACAGTTGCAAAGAGACATCACTGTTTTTGGTCGAATCCTACAAACTAAAATAGAAAGTCTGTCTAGGCTTATCAAGCCAATATTTTCTTTGCCCATGTCACCTGATGTTGTTAAAGCTTGGTTAGGGAAGATTTGCTGCAGTCAAACATTCTCCTTGTTTGAGGTGGCTCCACATTAAAAATATCGAATTTAGTGACAGAAAAATCCATCCATCCATCCATCCATTCGCTACCGCTTATCCTTTTCAGGGTCGCGGGGGGTGCTGGAGCCAATCCCAGCTGTCATAGGGCGAGAGGCAGGGTACACCCTGGACAGGTCGCCAGTCTGTCGCAGGGCTAACACACAAGGACAGACAACCATTCATACTCACATTCACACCTAGTGGCAATTTGGATTATCCAATTAACCTGTCCCCACAAACTGCATGTCTTTGGACGGTGGGAGGGGGCCGGAGTGACAGAAACATCTCCAACAAATTTATTAGACTAATCTTACAGAAAGAATGTTTTCCTAATCAGATTAAAAGTCATCATGTTAAAAAAAAAACCCCAACCAAACAAAAAACCTACTTTTTCCTCCATCCATCCATTTTGTTAATGCGCATGTGCAGTTTTTGTGTAAAGCCTACAGAAACATTACAGCCAAGCACTGAAAACAGCACTCGGACTCTTTGACCTTTGTGAACATATTGTGATATTGCTGTGTTGTGTCTGTCTGTGTGTGCAGGATGGACATTCCCAGCAGGTTGGAGGTGTGGCAGGAGCTGGTTGAGAGTTGCGGTCTCATTACTGTCCAGCAAGGCCTCCAGCAGGTGTGGAGGCTGTTGCTACTCTGCCTGCTCTGCAGACTCTGTTTCACACTGGGTGAGCTTCACTCGCTGCACAGGAGCACACGTCCCAGCTGCTGATTACAGTTATCGCTGGACGCAAATGGGTAGTCAGAGCTGCAGAACATCTTCTGCTCAGCCACCTGTGATTTGGCTGAAAATGTTATGGTTTAAAGTTTGGACATGTATGTTTCACATGTTCTCTGTAAAATGTCATCATCATATGACAAGTAGTTTTCTAAATATTCCAGCCTTTTTGACACACTGGGAGGAACAAAAACACAAGTGCCAATGTAAACATCTTCATCCATACAAGTAAATACAGTAAACCAGTTAAGGGTAATGACAGGGGAATAGTCACTTATTTCACACGAGTGTGTGTGTGTGTGTGTGTGTGTGTGTGTGTGTGTGTGTGTGTGTAAAAGTTTGACACGCCTTCCTTTTTAATGTTTTTTTCTTTATTTTCATGACTATTTACATTTTAGATTCTCACTGATGGCATCAAAACTATGAATGAACACATGTGTAAATAACTTAAAACATGTTTTATATTTTAGATTCCTCGATATTTGCCACCCTTTGCTTTGATTACTGCTTTGAACACTCTTGGCATTCTCTCCATGAGCTTCATGAGGTCATCTCCTGAAATGGTTTAACAACA